GTTGGTTGGCGGCCTGATCATGAGAAGGCGTTGCTTGAATATATATGGCTCGATGATCCAAGAACCTTGGAGGAACAGCGTAGGTGCCTTGGAGAGCACGGACTAATTTCACCTCAAGATTATATCTCAATGCTTGTCTGGAACTACAAGAGAAATGCCATTCCCATGGATCAGCTTTCAATCATCACCCCAAGGGACAATAGACTGTTGTGCAGCTCAAATGAGGATAGTAATGATGAAAGAAACTCAGCCGAATTAGACAATGAAGAAAGCATACATGCTGCTCAAATGTAAAGAAATGTCAGAGTTCTGTGATCTTGAAGGTTATTGTTCTTTCTCTTGTAGCAGAAAATTTCTGTTAAAGATGATAACTGGATTTCTCTTATGAAGTACAATGATTACCTCGGCTTCAATACAGAAGGCATAGAATAGCTTGTATTTTTTTGTTACATATAATCTAACACACAAATTCACAAAAATTTAATTACTAAGACTTTCTCTGATTTATTTTCCCTTTTGGTTTTCTTCAAGCCTAGACATGTATATGGCGCCTGTGTATATTGTGAACTCAGTCAGCTGGGCATCTACAAGAAGCAACTTCTGGCTGCCCTCTTCCCGCCCCCTCTCCACCCCACCCCCACCCCAACCGAAACCCATATACTCCAAAAGCTCAATGCTTGGTTCTCGTTCTCGAATCATTTCTTGGTTGTGTGTTCTTTTGGGCTGTGAAACATATGTAGATGCTGCCTTTTGTCAGCCTTTGGTTTGGGATTCTTTTATTCCACTTTCCGTGCAATTGTTTCCATAGGGAATTAGATTATTATTTTCTTTTCATTTCTGAGTTTGTTTTGACACTTTTGTTTTGAAGCAATCAAGTGGTCAAATTATTGAATGCCATGGTTTGCTCTTTATGCTGGAATCTCAAGTGTTTTGCCACCATTTAACTATTATATCTCTTGTGTATCTTTCTGTTTCTTTTGTGGACGAAGGAGACTGTCGTGGTGTGTGTAGATGATGCTAGGTGACTTTGGAGTGGTCCTCTCATTAAGCTTGTGATATCCTGTTGCATCCCTGGCCTGATGTATAGGACGCTCCCTTGATGACAAGGACCGTGCAAGTTTATATTAGGAAGAAGTAGAAGATAACAATGAAGACGCTGAAGCGCACACTTCTTACTTTTGAGTTTCATATGAAAATAAAGGCTCCATATGCTTTTCTTTTTTCGGGTAATTTTGTATACACTGTCGGTGTATATACTATCATGATTAGATGAATGACACATATATAAAATTTAGATTTGAAATTTAAATTCAACATATGTGGTATCCATCCAAACATAATAGTGTATACACTGTCAGTGTACATAAGATTAATCCCTTTTTTTTTTGAATTGTTAATTTTTAGGTTACAACTTTGTATATGAAATCCATATTTTGGGTCTTCTAAGGGTAGTTGCTGGATTTGTGCTTTTATTTTCTGGAGATTGTCAAAATTTGGATCTAATCGGCTCAACGTGTCTTTGTATGGGAAGTACACGAGGAGAACGCTGCCAACAAGGAAGGCGCAAAACGTTCTGGTTCAACGCACGCAGTTGGCAAGCCAAATCCTTGTTTTCTTTATCTTACAAAACTCTTCACGCAACCACCAAATTGCTAGTAAACTACAAAAGAAATGATCCAAAATTAGACAATTTAGCAACCTTCAAAGGGCAAAGAAGTTTCAATTCTGGTCACTTCAAAGCATGGTTATTAAACTTGGACCAGTTTGACGGTTCATCTGGTCGACCTATGAACCAGTCCGATTACATTGACCGACAAACAAGTCACTTAATCGGATTGAGTTGATAATTAGATCGGATAAGAGAGAAATCGTTTGAAAAGTCAATAATCCGTTGGTTCAACTGTAAAAAATGAAAACCATGCCAATTCAACCACCAATTTGATTAAAAACTCAAATATACCGTTGGTTTGATCTGCAGTTGAACCACTATGATCCACAGTATAATTATTGAGGCGGTCTCCTTGGGAGGTTGATGACCGGCCTGGTTTAATAACTATAATCCACAGTATATCATTAGACAAATCAAACATGGGTTCGTACATAGTTATGTTCTTCTTCTCATGTGCAATTGCATTATGACGGATCTGTACACTTGAGATTCTTGCATTTGCTGTGATGTTTTTCCCTTATTTACAATGTCTATATCTATACTAGGATGCGCATTTCAAGTGCTTACACAAAGCCCGTTTAAGACGAGATTACTGATTTTTAGGTTTGTTTGGTTAGTGAATTATTAGCAAAAAATTTATCTACTTGCATCAACAACACATTTTTTAACCTTTTTTTTTATATCTCATATACACCATATAAAAAAAGTGGTACTTTCAAAAAATTATTCTAAATAATCTACTTTCCACACAATTTGGTCAGAAATCACTGAGTGGACAGCCCCTCTGCCCTTGAGAATCAATCCATCCATCCTGGATGCATTCAAAGATTTCAAAATGGAGCATAAATTAGTAGTTGTAAAGTTGCTTTACATCACTTACACGTTAACCAAAGAAGCGATGCTATATATATATATATATATATATATTGATGTGCCAATTGTGCTTGTAGAAGGGAAAATTAAAAGAGCACGCAATAGAGTATTATTGTCTGGCAGAAAATTTCATCCTATTGTATGATGGGAGCTTCTTTCTTTCTTTCTTAGCCTTCTTCCTTTTTGGTGTGTTTTACTCTACCCAAGAACAAAATGATTGTAGGTAGGTTATCTTCAGCTAGAAATAGCAAAACATCAAAAATGTCCTCTCTATCAATCGAGAGAGAGAGGAGAGGAACTATACTGACTACTAACTAAAACCATTTAAACATAAAAACACCTTTTGCCTGTTCTTTACTCCTTTCAATTGGGCTTCCTCCACATGGCAGAAAAGGTTGGAATCATCATTCTTTGCTTTTTCCTGAGAGATAAATTTAACAATTAGGGTCCCGCATGTAAGAAAGAAAATGTAACATAATTACAAGTAACAACTACCGATTCGTTTAAGATCAAATCAACTCGAAGATTAGTTGTTGTTAATTAGCTACATCAACCCCATATCGATTTGCTTCCAAGACAAGAAGTTTGGATAATCAACGAAATCATGAGGTGCCAAACCATACAAGGTTGAAATAAATTAGTAGGCTTAGAAAACTAACAGCGCGATGCTGACGGATCAACAGATGAGTAATAACCCAACAAACAAATGGTGGTTTGACACATGAAGAAGAAGCAATGGTGGAGTCCCATCTTGGTGTCAAATTTGGGTCCCAGGTCCTCGTTTCCAATGTTGATATCACTACTGCTTTCTACTCACTGACAAACTCTGACAGAAAAATCAGATGGTAAAGAGGTTTTCTTTTAGAACCTTCTTACATTTCCCCACAGGATAAATTTGGGAATGCCCAGTTGCCTTGGTTTTTTTCATGGGACCATTAATATTCTCCTCAAGAAAGAGCAAGCAAATTCTCTGTCATAAGGAAAGGAACCTTGTGGACGGTGACATGAAACTTTGGCATAAAATTGCTCAGCTTTAAGTATGGGTATGGGGACCTTTTTTTTAAAAAAAAAAAAAATTTTGTGCATCAAAGGGATTATAGCTTTGCTTCTTTCTGGAAAGGCTGCAAATATGAATATTCCCATCATATTTATCTTACCAATGGGTCAGTTACAAGAGCCTGTTGTTGCTGTATTCTTTTGTACGCAAGGTTTCTTTGTTACATCAGATGAATGATTATGTGAAATTTTCCCCAGTCTAGAACAAGTCCAATGTAACGTTATTTTTATTTTTTCAAATCATTTTCTTTATTTTATTCTCTGCTACATTTTTTGATTAATCTGAAACAATCCGTTACCATATTCTAGTCAAATCTTAGTCACAAGAATTATTATTCAGCCCAAACAGCTGTCACCTCTATATATAGAGAAGGTTGTCAAATTAATGTAGGTCACTGTGATGAAGAAAATTCCACAATATGAGCGTCTCAATCTGACTTTTCCATTTGAATCTGGTATCGCTATTGACCAATTCTTCTTTGCTCTCCAACCGTCCAAAATCTCCACTGTTTTCAAGCAGCCTAGATTACGTGTTCAATTAGTTTCAAAAAGCTTCAAGGTTTTCTCATTTCTTTGAACTTTGAAGAAGAAGTTGGTGAGTTGATAATAGTAGTATAAGACAAATTTTTGTATTTAATACTATATCTCCGTGCTGGGAAATTCTACAATACCTTTTGTACGTCTCATCGTTACGTATTAATTCACTGTTAGATATATAAATTATTGATTGATGTGACGAGAGTTTATTGAATCATAATTATGAATATGATATCCAAAAGGAATGATAGAATTTTCCATTAATACAATGGAACAAATATGAGAAACAATAAATGTAATAAATCGAACTTAAACTAAAGGTTATCAATTAATTGATATAGCATAGGAGGACCCTAAGTAATTAAATAATAGTGGACCCAAAAGGGAAAGGAGCTTAACTTTTCTATTGAGACGCCAGTGGAAATGCAAGCTGGTGGATAATATGTTGCTTTCATTATTGAGTCTTGAGTGCTCAACTAAAACTTGGCTCTTACATGTAAAGATAACGATCTATCATCAATAAATTTGAGACTTGACGGCAATTATGCACTGTTATTTCCCTTTTTATTGGTCTGTTTCTATACCAAAAATGTATAGGATGTTGGTTACCTTTATTTTCTGGTAGCAAACATTGCACTTACGCAACGCATCTTCTTATACGTAACATAGCCCATAATTGGGTATAAATCTAATGCTATTGATGGAAAAGAAAGAAAATAAATAAACAGAATACGACTAGCATTTCCTCAAGTCAATATAAATGTATTGACTGATCTCATCCCTTAAAAAAAAAAAATGGAAGAAGAAGAAGAAAAGATTAACTTGCAATGGAACAAAATTAAGGAAAATAATGTCCAAGAAAACAAAGAAAAATGAGGGGATAACATAATAAACTTTGATCAGATAATCAGCCCATATGAAATCAATCATAAAGAACAGGGTTATTCGTGACATTTCAATAATTTCTCACCATCGCAAAAGAAAAGGGCAAGGATTATGACACATTTGAAGATAGCTAAGGTAAAGCTAGAAATAGTCTAAAGGATCACAAACATTTCTCATCCATAAAAGTCTTCGTCATTAGAATCCGAATCTCTGCCTCATGAACTGCATCTGCTTCGAATCTTTACCTGGAAATTCTGAATCCTACAACAATTTGATCATATATCTTCACCACAAAGCTAGCTGAAGTATGCTTCCAACCAGCAATATAAATGGCAATCCAACAGTGAAGCTCCGGGCAGCCCTCGAAAAATTAGCATCAACAGGATATAAATTCCCTGGTGGACCTGTTACATATATGTACTGAGAAGGTGGAGTGGGCACAACGGGCCAGCCTGATGAACCAGGGGGAGGAGGGCAGGCGGGAGTAGGCGGCTTCTTGGGAGGCGGTGGTGGCGGAGGCAACGCCGGAGGGGGTGGAGGCAGTGTCGGCGGTGGCGGTGGCGGTGAAGGCACGGGACATGGATTGTTGCAAGGACAGCCTCCACACTTGTTTCCTTCATCAGGGCTCCCTGGAGCCTGTCCATTAATTGGAACTGCTAGAGCAAAAATGACCAAAATTACTGCCAACTGCAACATTTTGATCCTGGCTAGCTAGCCACTGGAAATTAAACTGACCTTGATGGGGCTTGATAATGTTTTTTAGCTGATTGGTTTTGATGACTAAAATTGATGGTCGGTGTAGTGATTGGTGACTATTCTTGGTGTAGAAAGAAGAAGAAGGTAGAAAGAAAGAAAATGAATGATGATGAAGTCTTGAAGAGCGGATTGCTTACGCTTCTAGGTGCATGAAAGTCACCAAAGACAGAAAAATAAAGGTCATATGTTTAGTAATTGGGGTTAGACATTAAGCAAATAGGAGTGTGACACGCACTGTCTCATCTATATATGTATATTTGGTATTGGCTTAATCTACAAGACAAATATCACATTGCATGTGGAGGGTCCAATTTAGGGCCCCATGGTTTAGGTATTTAGAAACCTCATCTTGTAGCTTTATGGTACTAATATCATATAATTGCATGCTCAAACTCTCAATAATGGTTAGCTTTTCATAAACTACATAATAATACTACACAGGGACGGAGCCAGAAATTTATTTTTGGGGGGCCGAAGTGTATTAAAAAAAATTTTTTGTGACGAAATAAATATATTTAATAAGTAAAATTTAGAATCAATAATTATAAAAATAATAAAAACATATAATTATATGGAGAATGATTAAAAATGGTAGCTCTGCAGGGAGGATCTGGGTATGTTCGAGGGGTACGATATCAGAATATGAGAGTAGATGACGTTTCAAATCCCATTATCATTGACCAATTCTACTGTGATTCGCCGACGCCTTGCCAGAACCAGGTATGATTCACCCTCTAGCTTCATGGTTTTCCAGAATAGCTGGTTAATTGGGAACCAGACGGACTTTGTATTTTCTGCTCTCTTTGGTGAATAAACTCTGAATGATACTAAAATTCGACCAAAAAAAAAAAAAGTGCAGGCAATTGTTTATCTACTCATCCTTAAAATATCCTGACAACGACTTTTTATATCCAGAGTTCTGCAGTTGAAATAAGTGAAATCATGTACAAGAACATTAGCGGGACTTCCAAAAGCAAAAACGCCATGAAATTTGCATGCAGCGACACGGTTCCTTGCAGCCACATTGTGCTGAACAACATCAACCTAGAATCTAGGGATGGTACCGTAGAGACTTATTGCAACTCTGCCATAGGGTTTGGGTATGGATACGTGCAACCCTCTGCGGAATGTCTGACCTCATCAGACAAAGAAAAAATCATCAAGCAGGAGCCTGAGCTTGCCCTCTGCGGAATGGCTGGGCTGGCCGCCGGAATCCCCTATATATAGGGGGTTTTCCGGCGGCTTGGGGGGGGGGGGGCTTAAGCCCCCACCAGCCCCCCTTAAATCCGTGGCTGATACTACATGTATATATGTTACTCTAAAAAGAATGGTTGTCTCCTCTAATGTATAAGATGCTCTTGTTCTTTTATTTCTTCCAAACAAGGGGGTTGGTAAAATGATCAAAGAATACACACGAGATTCTCAATAAAAAATGACACAACTTTGATGGAGAAATGGTTTCTACCATGGTTTAGGCCTGCTCTTCATTGAACTCAACACGTCTTAAACAATCCCATAAAAAATAAGCATTTGTTTCATCATAAAATTCTCTGCCTTTTATTTTCAAGATGTTAGAAGTCAAGGTGTTGGTTCTATACTTCTATGCTGCATGTGGGATGACCTTTCCTCGACTTCTTTTCCAACCATATTATATATACTATGAGATCGAAGCATGTAATAATATGTGGACAGGCAATATTACTTGTAAAATGATAAAAGCTACTTCCTAAAGGAACCTTATTCCTTACAAAGACGATAAAGTCACCGTTATGTACAAAGATAGATGGAACACAAAAATATTGGACAGCCTATCATTTGCATAAAAATATTCAATATCAACTTTACACTGCATAATATTTCTGCATTAATTGTTGACATGATCCTCTCATTTTTCTGTGGTCTGCCCATGTGTTGTGAGGCGCCAGCCACTTTGTTTATTCAATTTTGAGCAAATTTCAGCTCAAGGTTTACAAATTAAGATTGAGAGACATGGGAATTTTCATGTGATGATGGAAGCATGTTCCTAGAAATTTTGAAATTGAGTGCCCTGCCCCAGAAGAACTTGCTAAAACTAGACATTGTTAAATATGTTTGTAGAACAAAAAGGCATTATAAAGAACTTGGCTGATAACACAATGCTACAAAAATCTCATTGACAGTAGAATTTTTTTTGGTTGGTTGTGACTTGATTTTTTTTCTTAAAAAAAAAAAAAAAAACTCTAGGCTACAAGGATGTGGAAAAAATATATATAAAGGACAACGGTGAATTTTTGTCAAATGTTTTACGTACCACTAAAGCATACTGCCATCGAAATAAGACATGGACCTAAGGAATTTGCTATGGCAGGTTACTTCTAGCTCGCATCTTTTTTTTTTTTTTGGAGTCATATGTTACCTACCCAGTATTCACCTTAGTCTTCAAATCCCCAAGAAACTTCTTCCAAAAAAAAAAAAAAAATCGCCTAGAAACCTTAAAAGGAAAATTTTCATTTTCTTGTTCCCCATACAAGACTTTGAAATTACTATCAGCGGTTCTTTTTTAAAGTCGTTTCTCAACAAATCTCGAAAGAAAAAAGATGGACACTTTAGATTGACATAAAGACTTTAGATTTATATTTGGACGATAATAAAAAAAATTAGATTTACAGTTGACTAAATTTGAAGTGTATAATAGACAAAAATGGATGTTATAATTATACTATACCCAAATACATCAATATTGTTGATGGACATTAAAACAAGACCAGTAGATTCTTCAAAAACAAAAACAAAAAAAAAAAGGATCCAAATGTCCAAATCAATTTATGTAAAATTTTGGGCTACTGTTTCCTGCATTATGGCCATAGCTAATTGGTCCTGGATTCATGCGGCTGCATAAGGCTTAAATGTCCCACTTACACGCAGTTCCAATTTGAAAAGAACGTAATGATCCAAATGTCTGATATGATGAACAGACTCCAGCCCAAAAGGACATTGGCCTGATCCAAATGTCTGTCTCATCTTTACTATACTAAAAGCGTCAGTTGGCTTTGCTACAGTGAAAATGGGCCGGTTATACTGTAATTGTTGTGCCTTTGAGGGGCGTTTTGGTCTTTCGGCATTGGATGGCAATGGCTTTGCTGGAAATTCACATCTGTCCGCGTGGCTCTCTTGGTCAGCAATTTCCTCTTCATGTGATTAGCATTAGCCTTAGTGGTGCTTCATATTTCGGTAATGCCATTTGCTGTTTCTCTCTTACTCAGGACACTGGAAGATGCATGCTATAGTATTGTGGTTCCTTTGTAATTTATTTGTTCTTTGTACCTCTTTTGTTTGAGTCATTGTTGCCCCTTGTGATCCGGAGAGATGGGCAACCTTAGCTATTTATGAGTATTAGTTTAGCCTTAGGTGTTTGCCATATTTTCCAATCATGCCATTTATTTTTCCCTTCATTCAACATGTATGTTATATTTGCTTGGTTGTTTTGTAATTTTGTTATTTTTTGACCCTAATTTTTGTTGACTTATTGTTCTCTTTTGTGGACAACACAGATAGATGTCCGCGTGGGGCTCTTGGATGGGAACATTTTGGCGGTCAGCAATTCCTCTCGTTCAGTTCTTGGTTCTGTTCTTGGTTTTCAGCAAGTATAGAGGGATCCCCGTGTAAACATTTTTTTTTTTTTTTGCAAAAGGACAAACTTTCTTCATAAAAAAATTATGCAATTTAAGAAATGGATTATAATTTTTGAACTTTTACAATAGTCCCAATTTTTTCTTTCAAGTATGAAAAAATGATTCTAAAAATACAAATTTTCTAATTTTAAACACGAGTTTGTCACCCCATTTCTAAAATAGATCCATCCTTTATTTCTTAGCATTTTATTTCAATCTATCCTTAAACACAAGTCGATTTGGAATTCACCATTTAAAGATTCCAACTATCTCTTGGTTTTGAATACCATTTTTATTAAAAAAGAAAAAGAAACAGAGAAACTCACCTATTTTAGCACATGATTTAAGAATACAAAATAACCTATAATTTTGCAACTTATGATACAGATTACAACCAAAAAAAAATCCTCAACCAAGTTACCGAAAGAATCATCAAATGAGTAAGAATTATAGATCCAAAGAACCTAGAAAATAGAAATGAAAAACCTTTAACTCAAGAAATCGTTAGATATTGTATATATCTAAGCCATTATCTTAGTGAAAATTCAAAGAGATTCTTCCATGCTTGTCGTACTCACCACATAAAGTGCTGCCTCCTATACAAATTATCAAATCCAAAATCATCAAAATCTACAAAAATAAACAAAGAATAGACAACCAAAAGAGGGGAAGAAAGAAAGAAAAATAAGAAAATATGTATATTTACCCCTGCAAGTTGAAGTCATTCAATATTAAGAGTCCAAGACTCATTTTCAATAGATGATGTCTTGTCTAAAGAAACCATTGTTGCTCCCTTCATTCTTGAATACTTTTAATGTATCAATCAAACAATCATCTGAATTGCAACAAACAAAAAAGGTTCCAATATGAAATCTTGATTAGGAGAAATGATAGTATATATAAACCGAGCTCATGGTGGGATAGAGTTGAATAAAAATTATATGTCATGCATCCAGACCTATTAATGTAAAAGAAAAAAGCCATTGAATATACAAAAAAATTTAATTTAATTTTACATTGGTCTAAAAATATTTTTAAATATGTTTGAAAGCTCATTCAAGTATAGCAAACAATAGAAAATGATAAACCCATTTTATAATGTTAGGCATTATTTAGTGATTAATGCTACATTAAAAAAGTTAGATAACCATGCCTTATAATTCTACCTAATTTTAGTCATTACTTACTGATTAATGCTACATTAAGAATGTTAGATAACCTAATTTCAAGGTCTTATTTATCAGTGCAATTAGGAAAAAATACACACTCACACACATGACGACTGTTAGATCGTTGATAATTTATTGCAGATATGAAATACCAATATATCGTATCGATATCTCATATTAAGTCAATTAGTAGTCCAAGTCCAGTAGGTACAAAAATCTCTTCAACTTCATAAATAAATTGAGTAAACGAATAACGATAATAACCAATTTACCTAAAGTTAAATTCCCCATAGTTACTAGCACCCATCATATATTTAATATATAACTATTTTATATTAATTCACTTGTCTTCATTTTAACTTGTTCAACACAGACCCAGGGCATCCTCACGCATCGCGTGAGGCTGAAAAAACTAGTAGTTCAGTAAAGATGAGTGTTTTTGCGGCAGAGCCATTTGCACCCTCAAAAGACTTCATGCCTTGGATTGCTATTTATTTTATTTTTCATAGAAAAATGTAAAGTAACTTGTTTGGATTGCTGGTTTTTTCAGAGCTTTATAGAAAAATATAATATAAAGATTTGATTTATGTAAACTAAAAAAATGATTGAAAAATATATTTATAAAAAACGCAAAAAAAATTTATTAGACAATTATAATCCAAACATATAGGTCTGCCTTGAAAAGATTCGCGAATCGCTAAAAGGAAATGTTAGATTAGGTGTGAAGTTCTCTACGGGGGAGGGAGTGTAAGTGAGAGGTCTCGGATTCGAGTCCTCCTACTTACACTTAAAAAAAAGTATAAAAAAAAGGTGTGAAGTTCTCTACGATAAGTGATATCTGCGCTTTAAGAGCAGCTTTTGGCACTCCAGTATAATGTTTTATTGCATGAAAGAATATTAAGTGCCAAGGATTGTTTTGAAGTGTAAATGTCATTTGCCTTTTTAGGAAAATTTGTTTTCATCTCATGAATTTGTAGATGTGTCCCCAATTGACTCAAAAGAAAAAAAAAATTATAGGTATTGGATATTATAAAAAAATGTTGTTTTTACTCACACTAATTCCTAGAAGTTCATGCGCGTGTTAATAAGCAATTTGATTACAATTGTTAACAAAACAAACAAGGACATATAATCCATCGATTTGACAATGACCACAAATAAAAAAGCATTTTATAGATTTTTTTTCCTTTTGGTAAGTTCCGATATTGTTATTCCAGGATAAAGAACAGCACTATACTGATGAAACAAGCCTACATGAGCAATTTATACATCAAAATATAGAAACAAGAAAATGTTAGACAAAAATGACGAGGTCAAACTGCCAAGAAATGCTGCAATTTCCAGTTGTAGTTCAGTCTAGTGCATAACAAAAATTTCATACTTTAATGAATTGTAAGACATCAATAGT